CTTGTCTCATTTAAAAGCCAAGATCTGCTTGACAAGGAGGAGCCATCCAAACAGAGGAAGTGGGTGGAGCATTCCAGGCCAAGGAAATCGCCCATGCGAAGGCCTTGAGGTAGGAGCCTGGCCTGTTCCAGGCACAAGGTTCTCCTTTGGAAATAGGGAAGAGCCAATAATCCGAATGTGGGTGGTGATCATTTTAATAACAGTCCACACTCACCTCAGGGTGTCATTAAGAAAGCAGCAGTGCATGTGATAGGGAAACCCCGACATCTTAGGGGCAGACCACAACCGAAGTTGACGTTTAGTTGTGCAAAGTGCTGGGCAGTGTTTGGCTGGTGGCGACACAGTCCTCTTCTCTGTGTGCCTCTGCCACCCCTAGATCAGTTGTCCTCAACCTTCCTCCTGCCGCGACCCTTTCATACAGGTCCTCATGTTGGGGTGACCCCCAACCATGAGATTATTTTCGTTGCTACTTCATCACTGTAATGTTGCTACTGTTAGGAATTGGGCGACCCCTGTAAAAGGGTCGTTTGACCCCCAAAGGGGTCGAGACCCACAGATTGAGAATTGCTGCCCTAGGGTCTCAAGCGTTCTTTCCTTCCAGCCAATGACAGTGAAGGAGAGAACAGACTTCCTTGTGGGAGGGCTTAGCTGGGCCACATCTGAGGTGGTACACAGCCTTTCTGCTCTGATTTTATGGAGCAGAACTTGGTCCCAGGGCCAGATCCGACTGCAGCGGTGCCCAGGAGGAATTGACAATCATTTCTGGTGATCCAGATCCAGGTACATGTCATCTTCTTCAATCCTCAGGGTTGCAGCTGCTCTGATGTGTCCAGAGGCTCGTGGTCTCTGGAACTGAAGACTGGACGCAGGGACCACAAACCGGCCAGCAGAAAGCAGAGTTTGTTTGGAAAGGAAAGAAAAGCACCTGCCGCAGCAGGTGGGGACTCGAGTGAGTGGCTGCAGAATGAACTGTGTCTGGGGGGTTCTCATCCGGTGTGGGGGCTTTGACTTGTCTGCATCTCCCGGTTATGAGCGGGCCAATCCCAGGACTGGACCTATTCCTCAGGTCCAATCGTAAACCCAGTCCTGCTCCCCTCCTGGGCTGGGTCTTGCCTGGGCAGGGACAGGTAAGTAAGCCTGCAATGTTCAGCAAAGAGTCTTGGGTTTGATGGCCTTGGAGTTTAGAATCAGCCTTGGGGTCTGATGCCTGCAGGCTTCAGCTGAGAGTGTCCCAGGCTGTAGAGACCACCTGCTCCTCCCAATGCATCCTGCCTCTTTCCCTCACTCTCCCTGTGGGTGCTCTATGTCCCATCTCATATGAGGCACCATGATCATGGGCCACCCTGCTGGTGAGGAGACAAAACCCAGAGGTGCCTGCCCAGGGAGTCATCATATCTAGGCCTTTCCTTTGAGGGATTCCTGGAGGAAACCTTTTTTGTTTGTTTTTTAAGAACTGGATGGAAGTTGCAGGCGTCAGAAGGTGCACAGAGACGTGGGGTTCAGATGTGGAATTGAGATTCCAGAGGAGAACTCAGGGGTGGGCGCCAAGGGTTGGTATCAGCCAGTGCCCAAGGTTCTGGCATCTTGCCCCTCCCCCAGCCCTTCAGGACTGGCTGGGGACAACACTGCAAATCCATTCACCTGTCACTTCCTGGCAGGCCAGCAGGCAGGGGCTGGACGCTTCACCTAGGGAGTCTGCCCCGTGCTCTGGGTCCCGGTGGCAGCAGCCGGATGGGAGGGCTCTCTGGGAGTGGTGGTAGCTCCGCCCCTGGCTGGCTACGGGGTGGCTGTTGGGCCCCTTTTGAGTTTTGCCTAAATCCAGCCTGGGTTGCCATAGTAACCCGGCGGCATTCCTCTCCTTGGCCGGGAATGCCGTTTCCTGGTTTTCCAGTTCTTGACTGCGGGGGAGCGGGCGGCGTGGAGGGGCGTGCTACAGCACCGGGTCTGGCCCGGGCGCAGTGGCCGTCTGGAGGCGCGCGGGCGGAGGCTGCGGCTTGAGCGGAGGGCTCACCTGTCCCGGCAGAGCCTCACCCTGCATCGGTGAGAGCGCCAGCCCCTGCTCCCCTGGTTTCCTCCGTCCGAGGGTGGAGGTGCGGGTCCAATGAGCTACGGTAGTAGGTGCTCAGTTGGAATGATGGCTCTTGGGGACACCAGAGACAGGCAAATGGCATGCTTAACCTGCCAGGGGGAGTGGGACGCAAGGCTGGCACAGCCCTGGAGGCTTCCTAGGTGTGGATTAGGTAAGCTCAGGTGCGACTCCAGGGGAGCTAAGGGGGTCTGGAGGCCAGGGGGAGAGGGCCGCAGGCTGGGAGGCTCCGGAAGGGCAGAGCTGAGGAAGTGGGCTGACGAACTCCCCTCTGTGACCCAGATAGGAGCCCGTGGGTCGGATATTGGGCTTCTAACTTGGAGGTCGGCAATTCAGACCTACCCGGCTGCTCCTCAGAAAGACGTGGCTGTCTGCACCCTTAAAGACTAACAGCCTCGGACACCCGGCGGTGGAGGGCTGCTATGAGGGGAAGTCAACTCCTTGGGCTTTATGGATGGGGTGAGAGGTGCGGGGTTGTCCAGTGATGAAGTGCTAGGCTGCTCATGGCGGAGTGGGGACCCACCAGCTGCTCTAGGAGAGAAAGATGCCCTGTAAAGATGACCTCTCCCCCTCTCTGCCTGCCCCTCCTTCTTCACCCACCAAGGGAATAGTGGGCTTGGACCACCGATCCTATACTTAGCAGGCAGCATCACTGGCTGCAACCTTGGAACCCCCAAGGGGAAGTTCTCCTCTGTCCTATGGGCTCACCCCCAGGAATCTGCACTTGTCTTGGTGCGTTGTTTTTTTTTTAATGGTCAATCATGTTTTGAACCCCCTCACCTACCAATTCATCAGTCTGCACAATAGCCTGGGTAGGAGGTACTGTTATTCCCATTGCAGAGATGAGAGTACTGAGGCTCTGGGAGGTCACCTGTCAAATCAGCAGAGCACAGGCTGCAGGCAAACTGGTGCCAGAGTGTGCCCCTCGCCACTCTCCCACACAGCCGCCCCTGGGCAGGGACTGGACCCCGGAGTCAGGGACTGTGCCTCTATGCAGTTGGCAGCCCTACTTGTGACCACTGTGAGGCCACCAGGGTTCCTTAGGGACTGTCCCTTTGGGATTCACCAGTGTGCTTGTACCCTGTTTTAGCAAGCCCCCCACCCCCACCCCCACCCGGGCAGCCCCAGGAGGTGGTGTGATGGCGGTAGAGGTGGTGGTACCTTGAGAACCAATGCTAAGGCTCGGAGAAGCAAAGTTACTTTTCACTTTTCTGGGGGTGCACACCCACAGCGTGTGGTAGGATTTAGTTCCTTGTCAGCTCTGGGCGATTCCACAACTTGCAATTGACCTGTGGACACACACACACACCACACCGTCTGCCCTGCCTGGTTAATACTTTCTGAGCAAACCACGTGCGTGAGTCTCGTTCGTTTGTTCGGGGTCAGAGAAGAAGCCCCACTCCGTGGACTTGGGACTCTAGCCTTTCTTGCCTGCTCTGGGCCTGGCGGGCTCTAGGACCCAGCAGCGTTTGAGGAGGGGGTCCTGACTCCTACAGGTTCCTCTCCCTCTCAACCCTTCCCCTGCATTCTTCCACCCCTCCCCCGCCTTTCATGATCCCCCACCCAGCTCCTCCCCTTCATGGGCACGTGGGAGCAGGGCCAGATTTAAGCCTAATCTTTCCAGCACTCCGCACGGCAGCCTGGCACAAGGGCAGGAGGTCCAGGGGAAGGGGTAGAACGGCTGCCCACAGCATCCCTTCCCCAATGAGCCTGGGGCTGGAGGACTCGCAGGAGGCCCAGCTGGCCTTGGAGACCGGCATCCAGGTGGGTCTTCAGAATGCTTCCTAGGAAGGAGGAGGGTGGGTTCCCTCTGGGGTGGAGGTGGGAGAGGCTGTGGCAGTGGTAGGGTGCACTGGGACCCTGGGGTGCAGCTCCCAGCCAAACGGGGCAGAGAGGTAGACAGCGCTCCCCTCCACAACTTCCTTCTCCTGGTGCCCTGGAGATGCTGGCACCCAGAATTCCCTGTGACCCCCTTGAGCACAATAGGGCCTCTCACCTGGGGCTGGCCCTGGATTTGCTGAGGGGACCACAGGGTTTGGCTTGTTTATCTGGTCCTTCCAGGGCTGGGGCATGTAGAGTGCCCTCCCTGGGGTCTCTGTGCTGGTTGGATGCTGACACCCAGGCTTCCCCACTGTGGGGGTCTTCTGAGCAGGTCACCTGGGCACCTGCATCTTGGGCAACAGGGCTTTGGTCCTCTCCTACCCTGGCCAGGGAACCCAGGTCCCAGGGTGCTGTAGACCCACTCTCTTTCCCTTGCAGATCCTGGAGAGCAACGTCCTGGGGCCTGACCAGGAGAGAGACCTGAGTGGGCAGGACCCAAACCAGGACTCTCCACCTGCCCGGCTCTCTGCCTGCCTCCGTGAGCTAGTCCCCTGGAACCTCTCCCCACCACCAGAGAGCCTAGGTACCTCCTGCCCCACCTTCCACCTCTTTACGTACCCCTCCTCGCCCAGTGGTGCAACGGCCATGGCTCTAGCTTCCATTTTCTTAATATTCTTCACTCTGAGACAGGCCCAGTGGCCCCCACGAGGTGGGCACCCATTTTATAGATGAAGAAAAGAGGCTCAGAGTGCCCAGGACTTGCACCCCATGGAATGTGACTAAAGGAAAGGGCTGAGCACCCCCCTACCTGCATGCCGACAGCCTACTGTAGAACAAACCCCAAATGCCACATCACCTCCCAGGACCGTGTGAGCCGCCCGCAGATAGTGGGGGAGGTCGCTCGGCTCCGACTAGGACTTGCGATAATCTGAGGGCTGGTGGCGTTCCATCCCTGTATGTGCAGGGGGGCGGATGGGCCCTACTCTGCTGGTGGGCGGCATGCACAACCACAGGGCAGGGTGTGGCTTGAGGGTCCTCAGAGGTGAGCAGCTCTCCCTGCTGGTGCTTCTGTCCAGTCCCTGTCTACCTGCTGGGTCAGGGATGGTACTCCTCGGAGGCCTCAGGGTCTCCGGGCTCCTCAGACAGGGAGAGACTTGCGTGCCCTTTGCCCCAGGCTGGAAGAGCAGGCAGACTGCAGCTGCTGGGCTCAGGACATGGGTCTAGTTCTAAGGGGGTGGGCTGGGGTGGGCACGGTGCTACTGCTTCTCCCGAGGCCTTTCTTTTCCTCTGTCTGTGCTTCACAACCTGGCGTGCGTTGTCTTGCCTGGCGTCAGAAGTGACGGCAAGCCCTTCCCCTGAGGCAGCTTTTGGACTTGCCTGGCAGGAGCTCGGACCCTTCTCCCCATCCCATAGACTGGCAAAACGGAGGTCTGAGCGGGGTCGGCACTGGAGAAGGAAGGAACTCGGTCCCGAGGCTTCCTCTCCTGGCCCCTCTCTCTGCCCACCTTTCTGCTCGCCAGCTGTGTTAGCGGTGCAGTGCCACATCCAGGCTGGCCCCAGGCTGGCCCCAGGTCCTAGTCGGCCTTCCTGCCTCTGACGACGGGGGTGGGGAGCAGGGAGACTGTCTGTCTCACTGCACACAGGACACAGCCAGCTAAATCCCTCCTGTCCCTCACCAGCCCCGCTGCCGGCCCCAGAGATGGCGTCCCTGCTGCCCCTGCAGGAGGAGAACCGGCTGCTGCAGCTGGAGCTGTCCCGGGTGGAGGACCTGCTGGCCCAGAGCCGCGCCGAGCACGATGAGCTGGCCATCAAGTTCAACGCCGTCAGCGAGAGGGTGGGTGCAACCCCGGGGGCAGGGACGCAGCCAGCTCACACCTGCCCACTCATCAAAAGGTTGGGCCCTAAGGTCAGACAGGCCGGGGTTCAAATCCAGGCTCTGCCAACGAATGGCCTGGAGCAGGTGGGTCACTGCCAGCCTCGGAGCCTGTTTTCTGCAGTGGGCAGGGTGGTGGGGGGCGGGGGGCCTGGGAGCTGCAGCAGGGATGTTGCCTCCCTGTCCCTCCCAGGCCTGGCTGGGGTGGGAGCACGGGGGTCATGACCCTAAAGGCCTCCTGCCCCTCAAGGCTCTGAACACCCTCCTGCCCCTCAGTCACATGGGCCTCGTGTCCAGGCAAAGTCTGCCGGTGCTCAGCTACTAACCAAACGGCTAGCGGTTCAAATGCACCCAGAGGCACCATACCAGAAAGACCTGGTAAACTCTGGGGAGCAGTTCTGCTCTGACAACTGGGGTCACCAGGATTCAGTCGGCTTTCTACAATGGTTTTGGTTGGGGATTGAGGCTGGGGCTGGACTCGGGAGCAGGCTGGAGTAGGCACAGGCCTGCCTGGGGTGGGTGTGGGTCAAGAGACCTGCCACTTCCCGTAGGGGGGGTGCTGAGGGTGGTGGTGGTGAGGTTCTGCCTCTGTAAGGAGAGAAGAAGACAGTTTCGGGCCTGCCTCCAAGCCCCAACAGGGCCCAGGGCCCAGGACCCTCGTGGTATACTATCTCCTGTGGGCCCCGGGAAGCAGCTGGGTGGATGTCGGTTAGAGCTGCAGAGGGGTGGTGTGGTGTGGTGTGGTGTGGTGTGGTGTGTGTGTGTGTGTGTGTGTGTGTGTGTGTGTGTGTGTGTGTGTGTGTGTGTGTGTGTGTGTGTGTGTGTGTGATGTTAGAGTGCTCACGCCAGTTGTAACCGGAGTGCTGCTGTCTGTGGAGTGGCTGTTTTGCACCAGGGGGCGCTAGGCACTTTCTCCATGAACCACGGAGGTTGGTCCCTTCCTGGTGCCGGTTTCACAGAGGAGCAGCCGGGGGGGCTCAGCTTGGGGCAGCAGTATGGCTAGCACCCACATCTCCCGACGCCCACTCCAGTGCTCTGCAGCCTGGTTTCACTTCCTGGGTTTATGACGAGATGTCTGGGCTGTGAGATTCCGTGGGGCAGCGGGTCCCTAGAAAACTGGAAGGGCACTCAGGCGCCAAGCAGTGTGACCATCTGATGTTACAGATCGGGAGATTGAGGCCCAGAGGGGGTAGGGCCTGACCCAAGGCCCCTGTGTGGTAGTGGCAGAACCAAGGTTAGCCCAAGGCCTCTGGGCTTTTGTGTGCCGTGTTGGGAAGGGGTGTGCGTTGCTACGCTTGTCTGCGTGTGTGCCCTTGCCCTGCTGTCTGCCCACCTGCTCGAGCGAGCCTCTGACTTGTTGGGACTTGCCGGTGAGCAGGCGGGGGTCCATGGTGGCCCCTAGCTCATGGGACAATGCAGTTAGTTTTCCCAGGGTTTGTGGGGTGTGTGGCCCCAGCCCCACATTGTTGGGGTGCTGGGGACCTGAGCCAGCCCCCTGGCTTAGGCTTCTTTTCTTTTGGTCCATGGCTGGCCTTATGCCAGGCCCCAGGGGGCTGTCTCTGAAGTACAGCTTCTGACAATTGGTGAAGCTGGCACTGCCCCCTGGCTGGCTTGGGAAGGGAAGAAGAAGTGGGAGGTGGCAGGTCCATTTATACTACAACGTAAGTGCTACATGCTAGGTTCGTTGGCTGGGGGTGGGGTGGGGGGAGGTGCCAGCCTGGGGGCCCCTGAGCTGCATGTGGAGGGAGCCTCAGATGGTGTCGGGGAAGCCCTCCCTGTCCCATAGGAAAGCTCTGAGCCAGGCATCGCCATACTACAGACGGGGAAACGGGCCTGGAGAGGGAGCGTGATAGGCCAGGTTCGTGGAAGAACTGAGACAAGGACTCAGGGCTGTGGACCCAGTCCAGTGTCCTGTTATCCTGTGTCTCTGTCTCTCCCTCTGCTGACCCGTCCCAGTGCTACAGGTGCAGGCCCGGCCCTGGGGACTGGGGCAGCCAGGGAGGTTGTCCTATCCTCTAAAACCCCACAACATCCTCATGGGAGGTGGGGTGCTAAAGAGTTGTGCCTTTTTGACTACATGTAGGGAAACGGAGGCAGAGTTTCCAGGATCTAGGACCCAGGTTAGAATGAGGACCTCACTGCCCTGTGAGGATCCTTTCCTCCCTTCCCTGTCTCTGCCCTCCCTCCCCCAGGAGCAGATGTAGGCAAGGCAGCTGGGAATCGGGTGGAGGGGTAGTCACGCCCCTCAGCTCCAGAGGAGGACCCCCTGGGCTCCCCCAGTGTCCATGGCAACCTGGCCAGAGCAAATTGAGTGGCCAGCACTGGGGCAGCAGTTGCCAGGGGAGATAGTAAACTTTTTTTATCCCTGGCTTGGTGCTGGCCTCCTCCCTTTCTGAATTACAAATAAAGCTAAAAGGCTGTTTTGTGAGGGGCCAAGTTCATGGAAGGGTATGACTATGAGTGGCCTGGGCCCGGCTCTGAGCAGCGAGGAACACTAAGGGGTCTCATCCCAGGGTAGGGATGGGTTCCTCTATGTCCCCAGGCACGTTGGGGGCTGCCTGTGTGTGCATTATTCATGTGCATGTCTAAGCTCAGATAGCCATGCCTCTGATAGCATGTATTCACACGTGCAGTCCATGCAGTCATGCTCTCAACCAGTCACCACTTTCTAGGCACTAAGGGACTATGGAGAACAGAGTCCAGGCTTTCCTGAGTACCCTGTGCAGGGGGGCCGGGGATTGGGGTGGTGGTGTTGGGGGTGGGGTGGGGGGGAGGAGCCGGGAATCAAATCCTTACTACCTGCAGCGGGACTTGTGTGCTGGACCAGAGGCTCAGGGTGCAAGGGGCCTCAGAGGCTTGCATCCATGTGTGTCTGTGTGTCAGCACGCACATGTGTGTTGGAGCACACATGTTGGTGAACCACCTGCACGAGAGCATGCATGCCCGGCTTATGCATTCCCTGCATGCCCAGCTTGTGTGCCCATGCACTACATTAACCGTGCACATGCACATGCATGCCCGTGCATCCTGGGCCTGCTCCCAAGTACATGCCTCCTCCGGTGCCAGGCTAAGAGACTACAAGGCATTGTGGGGCTGGGCCCAGTCCGGCGCCCCCTGCAGAGGCCTGTGCCTGCCTTCCTGGGAGGCCCAGGACTCTCACCCAGGGCCCTTCCCTGCAGCTGGAACAGGCAGTGCGGCTGGAGTCCGGGGAGCTGGAGACCCCGGAGCCCAGAGGGCTGGTCCGGCAGAGCGTGGAGCTGCGGCGGCAGCTGCAGGAGGAGCAAGCCTCCTACCGGCGCAAGCTGCAGGCCTATCAGGAGGGCCAGCAGCGGCAGGCCCAGCTTGTACAGCGGCTGCAGGCCAAGGTCAGGGCCACCCACCCCGCTGCTTGCCCATGCGCACCTCGCCCCTGCCTGCCCGCGGGCTAACTTGGCACCCCTTGCCCCCGCGCCGCCTCCAGATCCTCCAGTACAAGAAGAGGTGTACGGAGCTGGAGCAGCAGCTCCTGGAGCGGGCCACGGAGCTGGAGCAGCAGCGGCTGAGGGTGGGTGCCAAGGTGGGGTCGGGCTGGCACCTTCCTCCTCCTGCTCTGGGTGCTCAGCCTGATGCTCCCTCTCCGGCCCGCCTGCAGGACACCGAGCACAGCCAGGACCTGGAGAGCGCCCTCATCAGGCTGGAGGAGGAGCAGCAGAGGTGGAGCCGCGGCAGGGGCGGTCCTTCCAGCACAAGTGGGTGGGCCTCGGGGTGGGGCTGAGGCGGCACGCCCCTCCCCGCCCTTTGACCTCCGCAGGAGCGCCAGCCTGGTCCAGGTGAACGCTTTGCTCCGGGAGCAACTGGACCAAGTAGGTAAGGCCAACCAGGCTCTGAGCAAGGACATCCGCAAAGTGACCAGCGATTGGACACGGAGCCGCCAGGAGCTGGAGCAGCGGGAGGCAGCGTGGCGGCGAGAGGAGGAGG